GCTTATCACAAGGTTGTGGATGTCCTTTCCAAAGAAGCTTGCCGTATGGGTTCCCTCCGCCCAAAGCCGACTATCCGATGGATACAATCAAACAGCACCAAAAACCGCGTATAGACTAACTAAGCGCGCTGGCGTCATATCATTGCGGTGGCGCTGCTGTCGGTACTGCGCATGCGCAAACGCTTTACTTCTCCCGAATTTGGTTTCTTCTGCGCACGCGCAGTGCCCACATCGGGTGTGGGCAAAGCCGGAATGTTTGTCAACACGGTGCTGGTCTATAGACGCGGGCTCGAGGCGCCAATTGATGCACGCGATTGGGTTGAGTCGCTGATAGCGCACACACAAAAGCGACGCGCACCGTGACGGTGCATTCTTTTGGTGCTGTTTGAGTGGCACCGTTGGATCGTGGCGTGGGCTACGGTCGGACAAAGTAAAACGGAGTACAGCTGAACCCTTCTCCACCGGCTGCTTCACAACTCTCACAGATCGTGTATTGTTAGCGCAGGGCCGGGTACGGGTATACTCGACGTGCCGTTATTGCAGTAACGCTCGGCTTTTTGTTCCCAGTATGTGACTTCTCTTTTTCCTTTTTTTGCATACAGCTGGCGTCGAGTTTACGGGTGCAATTTTACGCCTGCACTCAAAAAGATATGCGTGTTGTACGCTGCACGATTCTTAGCGCAAGAAGACCATCGCTGTTTTTTTTTTTTTCTTACTATTAAAGGAATGTCATCAAACTACTATGGCGATGGAAAATGCTCAGTTGAAGTAGAGTGCGCCAGAGAACGGGTAGTAGAAAAAGGCGTCCACCTCCGCGGTAGGCACTTGGTCTATAGACCGACACGCTGTTTATAAACAAGCCCGCGTTTGCCCACACCAGGTGTAAGCACTGCGCATGCGCAGAAACCGAACTCGAGTGAACTGAAGCTTCTGCGCATGCGCAGTGCCGTCGACAGCGCCACCGCAGCTGCGTGACGTCAGGGACGCGTGTTGGTGTATAGGTGCTACCAGGCGTCTCCATGGCGCTCCATTCCGGAGCACCTCCGCCAGCAACGAGTTCGTGCCAGGCTGTCTGTTTGCGATCTCAAAGGTTCATTAGTGTGGCTTACGTATATGTTTGGTGGCTGTTGGAACGTCTATTAATTAATGTTTACAGCAATGTAATGATTCGTTTCAGCAAAAATCGGGTGCCCAGTCTTGCGTCTTGGCGCAAGATTGGTGCGCATCTGTTCTCTCTCTCTTCGTTTCCATTGCTCAGCGACCAGCCTCGAACCTACGAATAATCACAATGCCAAGCACTTAAAATTCAGGAAAACCAATCGCAAAAATGATCATAGACACACCAGAAACCATCCGAGAACGTACGCTACGGCTTATGCTAAGTCCTCCCGGCTTCGACAACAGCGCCACTCGCGGCCGTCAACACTTTTGGCTTCACTCGGGCGATGAGCCGCCGCCGTCGCTTTTTCCTCTACCCCTATATTCTAGTCCTCTGTGGTTGAGGTACCAAAGTAAGTGATACATTTTGATACCCGCCGGTACCCTTTCGACGTGAAATGCAAAAAAAAGGCGCTAAAGTCGTATTCGTGCTAACAGCGTCGCGCAGTGCATCTGGACAGGGAGGGTAAGAGCGAGTGAAACCAAACTTGCATAAAATCATTGTTTCCATTTATCCGAAGCTTTATGCCAAACTGCAGAAAACGGTTTGCGTCCTCCGAAAGTGTCCGAACAGTCCGCGACAAAGCTCTGCAACGTCTCCTGAGCTTCTTTACACTATATCGCAAGCACAGGAAGTCCTATTTTCAAGTGGTATCAATCGCCAATGGCACCCATCCTGCCCTAAGCACAGAATTGGTGGCGCTCACGAAAGAATCGGGAAGTAGAGTGACGACCTCGCTCGAGCGGCCCTGTCGAGATTTGGGATGTACAGAGATCGGCCAGGGCTAAGATCGGAGAGCGTGCGCAAGGGACGTTTCTACGATTTCATCGTGCCATTCCTCTTGAAGTGTGTCGTACGAAGTTCTTGCCGCTCACTTTCGTATAAGGGTTTGGATTTGGGCTAGTTGGTTGAACATGTTTAGGGGTTAAAAGCGCTAAAAACGACGGACGAGTAGGAGAGACACACACCACAGAGTGCTACTTGCAACTGGTTTATTATTGGAAAATTACACGAACCGCGAAACCAACAAGACACACATCCGATTCAGTTCCAACCGTCGCTAATCACAATTCTTACTCTTACACCATGCATGATCGTAAAAACGATAACTCTGATTCAAACAGGGTTATCGATGGGGCACTTACAGACGTACCCTCGTCACACTCGGAAATAAAAAACGCTTCCGTTATCTCCCTTGTCTTTCTATTTTTGTTTCGTGCCAAGATGACGGTGTTGTCTAAATAGGGTAAACACTCACACCTACTGCAATGTACTGCGAGATTGCCAGAGGGGGCTGACCTCAATGACAGGGCATGTTCCCTCAGTCTTTCGTTCACGCATCGCCCCGACTGCCCCACGTATACCCTGTTTGAATCAGAGTTATCGTTTTTACGATCATGCATGGTGTAAGAGTAAAAATTGTGATTAGCGATGGTTGGCACTGAATCGGATGTGTGTCTTGTTGGTTTCGCGGTTCGTGTAATTTTCCAATAATAAACCAGTTGCAAGTAGCGCTCTGTTGTGTGTGTCTCTCCTACTCGTTCGTCGTTTTTAGCGCTTTTAACCCCTAAACACTTTCGTATCCTCGCGTTTTCTTGTGTTGCTGTGCATGTTTAACGTTCCTGCGCTCGATTGAGCAGGTCAGCGCGACGACGTAGACGGCCCTTTGAGGACGCGCTGCTGTACGTTTAGAAATTACGTAGTCCTGGTTTCATAGAATGACGTGCCGTGCCGATGTCGTGCCAAAGGGACAGATCATTAAAATAAAAATGACCTCGTACATGAGTTATGTATGATCATGTACTAATTCTCCCTACCGGTAGCCATTCTCGGCTAACGGTGCGCATGACTCGTCAAATGTCACCTGTGTTACACAGCGTACGCAGTGAGACATACCTTCGCTATTTAATATACCGCGCGCTTTTAGTTTTGACATATTCCCTTGTAAACAACCACTTAGATGCATGGCAGCAGCTGAGCATGGACGCCGCCATAATCAACCTGCAGTTTTTGTTTCCCCTTATTTCGTTCGCTTCACTTCACCATAACCACAGTAGGACTGGCTATTGTCTCTTTTTTAAAACTTTACTGTGTCTTTCTCCCCAGCATTGGCCCTTGTGGAAGCTCGGCAACGCCCGCTTCAGTGGCTCGGCACTCGGTAAGACAAAAGAAGGTCAGCAATGGCAGGTGTAATCTGGCGCATGTGTAAAGTGTCTAAATTTTAGTTCATCATAAGTCCAGCAACAACTACGCTACAAACTAGTGGGACCAATCAATTAGCTTGGAAAGCGCAAGTCTCTGGGCATTTTTTGTTTATAATGAGTTCAACGATGATAAAACGCGTACGGAAACATGGCAAACACCATGATGGTTCGCTTATGAAGCTGCATGATTGATGCCATTAGCTGGTAGCCTCGGCTGCGTCTTAACTTAAGGTGAAACGGAGTATGCGTGGCTGTAAGCAATGAGAACGGAGTTCAAGCCGGGAGTGCTATGTTCGAACTCCAAAAAGTGAGGTACAGTTACATGTACGTACGTTCCGAAATTAAGGCATCTTCTTTCTCGCTTCAGTATAACGTTCGCGCGTGAACGTAAAAGGTTAGCCACGACGATGGTACAAAGACCAATTGTCAGACAAAGGTCGCTGCGGAACAGCAGGTGCATCACATCCGTCGATGCTGCAAGGCGAATTCACCGCAATTGTACCAGAACTACAACGATAACCGGACGCGATATTTTAATTTTTTCACTTAGCTCTTTTTGATATTTGGAAGATGGTAAATGCTGCGTCGCACACATTATCTTCAACATCTGCTTGTTTTCGAATCTATCATGTGGTTAACTGTGACAACCACTCTAATCAATTGCCCCGAATCGAGGCTTTGACCGCACCGATTCATACCGACTTGGTATGAATGAGGGAAAGATACAATACGCTGGCAGCAAGACCACACGGTTGCCGTGGTTATGCGCCTCCGCAAAGTAAAGCAGTTCCTCAGGGCGCGTGGGACCTCTCTGGACTCTAGACGCAATCGATCAGGTATCTTTTCGGCCGGTGAACGCGTCAACTTTGCACGATAATTTTGTTGCGTGTTTGTTCCGACATCAAGAAGTAACCCGATCAACCACATTGGCCCTCTGGTCTTCCCTATGTATATGAGAAACATGTGGAGTCTTCAACGTGCCTTACGCAGTACTGATACACGGTCGCACTCCGGTACGGTGATCATCCAACACAAAACGGGCCGGCGTGGGGATTGAGTCCAAGGTTCCTGGGTTTTGCAGCGCGAGCTTTCGCTCCACCTGCTCAGAACTGAGGTGCATTAACACACTCGGCCACCGAACCCCTCAATTACTTTCACTCGAAGTAGACTCAGAGCCAAACCACAAGCGAGCGAACGGACGGGCTCATTGTCACTGCAGAAATTACGTTTTCGAGCGAAACGGCTTTCTTGAACCTGGACATTTGCTGGATGCGACCTGTAAAACCCGGTGATTGGTCCATCGCATGCTCTGCTGCAAATTAGAATAAATGACTGTGCTGAGTTTGAGAGATCGTCCTGTCTACTTTCTGTCCCTTCTACGTCTTGATGGTTCTCTTCTGCCCTAGTCTTAAAGCATAGTTAGACGAGAAAGGTTTTTTTTTTTCAATGTGTGGCGTAACATGCATTCAGGAAGCCATCAAACTAATTTCATCATCCCTTCCTTCTTGCCAAAAAGGCTGAGGTAGTAGAAGCTATAGATGCATGCAATGAAGACGCGACGTGGGCTTCTCGCAGGTGCGGACACGTCGCTTAAGTAACCCCTTGTTCTGGCGAAACACAATCGCGCAAGTGTTCTTGACAAAGGCAAACATTCCCCCATCCGGTCAAGGTCTGCACTCGACAAGGGAGGCTCGCCCTTCTTATCTCTACCCTCCCCCCCCCCCCCCCCCCCCTCTTAGTCTTTCGGCGGTCTAAGAAGCAGATTGCTTTTTGGTTCGAGGTTTGTAGGTGCGACGGACAGCAGAAGATACCTGAATCTCGTCAAGAAGAAAGCAAACGCATTTTCGAAGCGACTCGGTCGACATGTTGTCCAAGAGGGGCCTCCTGTGGCTCAAGTTGGGACGTACCCTCAACTTGGACCTGGGCTGTTTCGGAATGGTGGGTTCGAATCTTTTTTTTCTTCTTAATATTCGTATTCTTCGATTTCGTTTTTCGACCAAAAATGTTTAGAATAGTTTTATATAGAGGTACTCATTGACTAACAAAAGCTACGACATAAGCGGGGGAAACAACGCAGCAACTGTTTGCCCGATTTTCGTTTTGTAGAAATGCAGGGCCAAGTTCACACGATTCAACGCAATTATTATTTGTACTTCGGCTACATCATAGCCGAAAGGACAAAATAGCGCTCAAAAAAATAAAAACACATAAAAAACAAAACAGGACAAGTGCGTTTAGTTCTTGGTTTTTTTTTCCGCAGTTGTGCCTCTGCCAATGAACCAACTTGCTCACGTTGCCACCTTAATTGTGTGCCCAAAGGCCAGGAGCATGGCTTGCGCCATTGAATCTTTGTAGAGTAGGTCCGGGTGATGAATAAAACGCACTCATATATTACTTCATGAATTTATTGATTTAGTGAGAGAATAATAAGCCGAATGGTGCCTCATGTAATTCAATTTAATATGCCCTAAAGCTGTTATCACTACCGGATTCTTTAATTCGCGAGTTAAACGTCTTTATAAAACAATAAAGGTTTACCTCTCGTATCATGATTTCTAACAAAAAAATTAATCACTTGCTTTAGTGCAAAACTTCTAATACAGCAAAAAAGGCTTCCCACTTTTTTGTGCTCTAAAAGTTGTAATTTTTTGCCTCTAATGCAGACAACCCGATTGAAAAAGTTCCCAGAGCCCATATTCAGAGATGTGATATTTGAATGTTTACCAAATCTCGCTATCTAAGTCTAATTTTTGCACGAAAGACAAGAAACGGGAGCCCAGAAGAAAAAAAAATAGTTCCCCAACTGAGGTATTTTGTGTATGGTGTGACATCTCTTTGCATTTTGCTGCACGACAACATTTGTCTTGCTTTTATGCAGGAAGTACCCCGACTTTCTCTTATTGAGTGTGCAGTTAACGGTTACGTTGACAACGTCAAGTGTTGAGTGCAATGTTCACATTTCGACTAGGTCGTAAATGTCATGGTCACTCCAATTCGAACCACGCTCCATGTCCAATTGAACAAACTTCATTCTCGCAAGATAACTTAAGACCACCACTTCGTTAGCAAAAGCTAGAGATAGTGGATTTTACAACGTTCTTAAGGCTGTTAAATATATGCAGCTCGTTCATTCCCAGAAGATAACACGTCTCAGTTGCTCTACTCAAAGGGAAAAAAAAAGCGGTTATCTGCGATCTTAAGAAAGTTGCATCCTACCATAGCTCTCATCAGAGCACTATATTTTTTTTTTGTCTTTGCCTCCTACCACTGACTCAACGTATGCTTCATAGAAAACAAAAAAGGAAAAGTACGTGGTGTTCAAAAGTCCCGTTGAAAAGGTCCCAGGGTTTGGAAATAAGTCTTAAAAAAATAAAGTGAAGCTATGCAGTTGTTCTTGAACACATCATGTACAATCATACCAGTTATAACCCCGAGGATGACTGCACAGCACGACAAAGCACAAAACGCAGATCACCGGGTTTCTTTTTTCAGATTCACAATTAGAATTTTTGAATGTCTAACCCAACATTACTCGCATGATAGAAAGTGTTCGTTGGGGTTGCCAAAAAATCAGTATATTATGGTAGAATGCTGAAGAGTGACAATGTCGTGCTAGTACAGTATATACTTACGCCCAGTTGCAATTCAGAGACTCAAAACCTCAGTAAGGCTGCACCCATTTTTTTTTTTTTTTTTTTTGCAGGACTATGGTTAAACACTTGTCTTGTCCTTTTGAACTAATTTTTTTCTTGTCATTTTTTTTCTTTAACTATAAATTGTTAATTCTCACAGCGCCCAATAACACACTCTAGAAATGTTTCAGTTCACTATTATGCAGAACACAAAAACAGGCAGTCACGGCGAACAATACAAGGATACCAGCAAATTACGAAGCTCAGAATGAGATCACATCTCAAAACTGCTCCGTGAGCTAGGGAAGCGTAATGTTCATTATTTCTGCGGGCATCGCATCTTTTAGGTCTAATTGTTGTATAGTCTTCTTTTTGCTCGAATCTCTTTATTGTTTCGCAGGGATCGGCTGTCTTCGTGTACTGTAGGTAAGTAATCACACTGACTCACTTTAAAATGGTATAAGATGAAGAACTAACTTTGTGGTATTACTTCATATCCGTCGGAGTCGCAAAAAACTGGCGTTCAAAAAAACTGGAGATTTTATTGGAAAGGAAACTGTTTTCTTTCTCTCGAAGGGGCTAGTGATGTCCCTTACTGGAGTGGCCCTCCTTGACTTGGTGGAGATCTACGAATCGGACGTGAAGACCGTGTCGCACCTCATCACCACAAGATGCGTCGCCGGACTTGTGGGATCACTGTTGGGTGAATGCATCTTCCGAGCTTATAATGATGTTTTACCGTCAGATGAAGCTACGAAAGGAATATAATACTTCCTTTCTCGCGCGCACATCAATCCGGAGCGCAATATCATCTGCAGGGGTTGTGGTGACGTCAGAACGCACAGCTCCGATTCGCTGCGATTAAAAAATAGCGGGTAGACCTCAAGGTAGCTTGATTTGAGATCTACCCACTATCCTCCGATTAGGGCCAATCAGAGCTCGACGTTGTTCTGACGTCACCAAAACCTCTGCAAACGAAGCAGACGACCTTGAGCTCCGCTTAAACATGAAGTAAACGTCCTTGCGAAGACGGTGGTAGCGCGACACGACGGAAGAAACTAGAACCGTCGTTTTCTATAATTCACATGAGGAGGCTATACTGTCTTGTAAAAAAATGTATACTGTATAAGCATACACCGTCCCAATGTTTACATATAAACTGGCCAGCGCGTCGCTTCGGGACGCGAGCAAAAGACGTGCCCTGAGGAAACGCTGAAAAGGGCATACTGGCATCTGTTCTTGCGTTTGAGAAAGTTCGAAAATAATAATATTTATAAAGAACCAGAACCGGAGCCCACTTGGCAATTGCAAGACCGAAGCTAAACATCGGAACCTTGCTGAAAAGTGTACAGCTAGAGACAAAATGAAGTAGACACAGAAGCACAATTTCTAACGCATGGCACCTTAACTGTACGATGTGTAAATCAGTATGTAAAGCATATGTATGATAGCGTTGGAAACAAATATAGAACATGCCTTAATTAAAGAAAAAGTTCCTTCTACCTGCTTCTATCAAAAAACAGGAGCGAACGTGTACGCACATTCTAGTTGCACTTGCCTCCAACTGTAACTATATCACCACGAAAGAAGAGACCCCATAATGGCTGATTTGTATCCTGCTGCCTAAAAGGATTGTAGGCTTAATAATAATTATTAGTTCGCATAGTTGTCGCAAGAAAAATTAAGCTAGACAGTCGAGTAAAACACATCCTCCAGACCTCAGCATGTTTCACTCTGTATAGACCTGCATGCTGTATACAAGTCACCCTTTGCCCACATCGGGTGTGGCCAATGCGCGTGCGCAGAAACAAGATTTGCGTGAAGTGAAGCAACAGCGCATGTCTGTGCCTACAGCAGCGCCGCCGCAGCAGCGTGGCGTGCTATACGTGGCTTGCACATGACGTCATTTCCTATGACCTCCAGAAAAAGGGAAGAAGAGGCTCCCCTCTTATCAGGATCCTCCTCTCTTCCTCCCGGATTTGCACAGGCGTCGCTATTCTCCTCCCAGAAGATTCTAGAAGATTAACCTGTCACTCAAAATTCTTACAAAAGCAGCTTCCCTCTCCTGCTTTCACATGGTGTTCAAAAGTATGCGATGTGACCTCAGCGCAAGGAGCCTATATGCAACCGCCGTCGACTGATGACTAGATTGTTTTTCCTCTTTCACAGGTGGGAAGTTGTACGACACGTACAACACGCAGGTGATGTCCATCTTGACCATGGTGACGGCCGTCGCTTCAGTGCTCATGATTCCCATCAGCGGAAACTTGGCGCTTGCGCACTTCGTGGTGTTCGTCGGTGGCGTGGGATTTGGTGCATTCGACACTGGTTGGTATTCGACAAGATTTGTTGCGAAGCTAGGTCATACCCATGCTTTCGTAACAAGGTTCAGGTGCCCTTCTGTAACGAATTAACAGCATTTTGTTATTCAACCATTTCAAAAACCGTGCTCTCAATTACATTAAAATAATTACATCAAAACTTGGTTAAATACAAAAATATTAAAATAGTATATATATATATATGTAAAATTCTATATTAAGAATTACGAAATAAATATGTAAGTTATGTATTGCTTAAGATGAGATAAATTGCTTCATTGCCAGGTCAGTCAAACCTTTAAGTTTTATATTGTTCTCAAGGTAGATGTTCATTGGCTAAAATATATTTACCCTATTAAATATATTAAAATAAAATCTCATTTTGCTTTGTATGCACTGCATACACAAGAACGTTAAAAAGCACGTTAAAAAACATAATAATTAGTTAAGACGCACAAATAACAGGCAGACATTCCTTAAAAAAGGAGAGTGGTTTTGTTTCTACAACGTTCCCATTTGAGCAATATCGCGTCCTTCTGTCAAAAATTGTCTATTGTATTTTTTATTTGTCTGTCGTGTTAACAGTTTCTGATACGTTTACCAGATCCGATGGGACCAGCTATCGTCATCAGAACCATTGTGGACAGTCCATATTTACATATCGGTTATTGTCAGAGTCGACTGTCAACCCTAACACATTCAAGACGGCTATGAAAAACAAATTAAAGGCACCAGATTTACTCTAGCAACTCAATTGTCTTGAATGATACTTACTAATAATCTTTTACGCAAATGCATGTACCCCACAGGTGGCAACGTTTGGATCATCAAGCTCTGGCCCCAAAATAGCAGTCCAGCCCTGCAAGTGTTCCACCTGAGCTTCGGCATCGGCTGCCTCGTGGCCCCCTTACTCGCCGAGCCCTTCCTCTCTACGATTCCCACGGACGACGACGAACTCGTGTCAGACAACCCGGTCGCCTTCAACGAATCAACCTACTTCCTCTACCCCACCAACCAGACTAACAACTCAACCCTGCCCGTGGAATCGAGGGTCCACTACGCATTTGCCATCGCCAGCGGCTTCTACCTTATCCCCATGATCTCCATGATCGTGCTTTACTTCATCGACAACAGCGATTTCAAGCCACCCAAGAAGAACCATCTGGAGCAGGCGTTGGACAAGGAGGAAGCCGCTGAGGACGTGCGATTCAGCAGGGTCCTGCTGGGCTTGCTGGCTGCCTACGTCTGTGTCTACGTCGCACTTGAGTGTTCATCGGGACAGATGATTACGGCCTACGCTGTCAAATGTGACCTTCATCTAGCCAAAACAACAGCGTCTCGGATGGCTGCCGTTTACTTCCTGTGCTTCGCAGGGAGCAGGGTCATCGCGGCTCTGATAGCCATCAAGGTGACGTCCTACCAGATGCTGGTGGGATCCCATGCCATCCTCGCCGTCACGGCGGTGGTCATGCTAATGTGGGGTAACTCGTCCGAAGCTGTGCTCTGGGCATGTGCCGCGCTGCTAGGGTTAGGGCAGGGTCCTATCTACGGCGCTGCGGTGGCGTGGACGGTGAGCTACATCAACATGAGCAACGGGATGATGTCCCTCATCATCGTGACGGCGGGCATGGGAGCGATGGCACCATCGCTGCTCGTGGGACAGTTCTTAGAGTACAATCCGTCTGTGTTCTTGTATGTTTGTTTTGTGACGGTGGTGCTATGTATCGTGGTGCTTCTGGCCATGTTTCTGTTTACAAGAAAACGGCCAATGCTAATTCACGTGAAAGAGAAGTGTCTAAATAATGTAAATGGGGACGCTGTAACTAAAGATGACCCATTTTCCCTATAAAGTGGTATAAAACTTGGACTTAGCTAAGGGCTCCTTTCTCGCAGATTAGATTATTGGGATTCTATATAGTTCAGTGTCTATTGTTTCGTTAAATACTTCGCTGCGTTTCTTTCGTTGCGATATCTCACTCGTTTTCTAAATTTTTCATTGGTCTCACACAGCCTCCAGATTTGTTTATGATTCCGGATTAAAAATCCCGAAGTCCTTGCTTTACTCTGAGCACCATGAAATTCGATTGTCCGATCTTAGTTATCTTTGTCTAGTTTTACCCGGATATTTTGACATTGGTGTCAAAAAATTAAAAATATATTTTGGCTCCGGCAAGGATTTCATTCTTATCTCAGTGGAACGCAAACATATAGCCCAGCTTTATATGTCCTACTATCTTACAAAGGCAAAAGTATCTTTGAAAAGTTTGAGCTAGCAGGAAACCACGTTTCAAATGTCGATAGACTTTTTTTACTAAATTACAATTAAAAAAAAAACGGAAAGGCGTTGTCTTTTGGTGAACAACCTCTTGTTACTCTCTGCAAGGCGGTATAGACGGTAAATTAGTCTAAGGGTGATACTAAATAACGAGCCCGAAGGATGTTTCGCTTAACAGAATATCCTGTACACCCACTGTGCCTCGACGTTCGTCGGTAAATTATTTGGCACTAAAGTTTTCGAAGTACTTTCTGTGGTGCCATAAGACACTGTTTTGCGGAATAAACGACGTCCGCACCCAACTGCGAAAAGGAATACGAGAAAAAGCCGTGACGATTTGAGGCCAAACGTACCGAACTAGTGTGGTACCATAACCAAAGATTCAACTCTCCCTAATCTTCCAGATGGAGTGATGTCTCGTTAATGTTGTCAAGAATTACTATTGATGAGGCGACGAATGACTTAAAGGGGCTGTGCAACAATTCTCAAACTTCAAGTCGATAGGTGTGGGAGTTAATCTCTACCACCCGTGGAATATGGAACAGAAAACCGTTTTTCGATACGTGCCCTAGTTGTTGTTTCTTTTTTTTTACAAAATAAAAAGAGATTGAAATATGTGCCCCCCGCGGCCACTCTCAACTGTCACACCGTCTTTCCGGTAATGTAGTTGTCACGTGGTTGTGACGTTTAATAAGGAGGTAGGTATCCGCATTCGCAAGCGGCTTTGGCTCGGCCCGGCAGGGACGCTGAAAGCTCGCAGCTCGCTCTTGTAGCCTCAGCTACGTTGGCATTGAGAACGAAACGGAGTATAAAAAAACTGTAGTTGGGGAAGCGTAATGACGCACGTTCGAAACGCGAGCCGAATATTCTATTTTGCTCGCCTGGAGCGCTGCTCAAAACTTGAGAGCTACGGGACTATGGGTAAGTGAGCAACGCCACAGAGCAGAAAGGGTTTTGTTGACCTCTCATCGATGGCACCACTAAAACTACGAATAATAATATTTCGTAATGGTAGGATACTTTCGATATATTTGTTGATGTCAATACGGCCAGATTTCTAAAAATAGGCCTTATTTTTAGCAGATAATTGCACAACTTGCCAATGTTTTACGTGACGTGAGCGTGACGCGGACGTCACGCTCACGTCACGTCCACGTCAGGCCGGCCGCGCCCTGTGGTTCCGACGACCACCGCTGTGCGGCTGCAGGCCGGTAAAAAAACAGTTTTAAAATGTCCAATTGCTTAGCGAAATCGCAATATTTCCGATAAAAATTACAGGCTGCGATTTCTTTCAACGTTAATATTGTTGCACAGCCCCTTTAAGGAAACTAAATGTTTAATGGGGCAAACTTGTGCCCCTACAAATAGAAAAAAAGCTAGCGTCGGAGGCATTAATGAGCTCCTTTTGAGCGTTCCCTGGATGCCTAGAACATTCTACCTCGTTCGTTGTGGAAGTATACAATCTGAATATGAACAAGCTACACGGCTCTCCAACGTTCTAGAATACTCTACTTACATAAAAAAAGAAAAATAAGACAAACGGTGTCAGGACCCCAACCCCTGCCATCTGCGTGGGAGCCAAGACGCTGCCTACTTGGCTTGTTACCCAGGCGGATAGATGGACACCTGTGTTTCCCCCAAACATTTCCCATAATGGGAGTTGTTCATAATAACCAGACGAAACTGCGTGTATTTTCCCAGTTTGTTCCCCGAAAATGGTTTTCATATACCGGGGTGTCCGTATTAACGCGTTCCAGGTTAAAGGGGTAGTGCAACGATTTTAATGTCAAAAGAATTGCCAGTATGCATGTTTTTTTATTGTTAATGGAAGCCCAAGTGACCAAAAAAGCGTGACCTTTTTCCGAAAAACTGCTATTCTGCTGCGTAATCGCAAAGCAAAAAACAAATTATTTGCCGATCTGCAGCCGCCCGTTGTGGTTACGGGAACTAAAATAGCCGCGTCTCTGCGGGATACGCGGAAGACAACAAAACCTGTCCCCCTCCGCTGCTACACTCGCCGTCACACCCGTGTCAAACCGTCTTTTGTGTCGATTGCTCGCCGCGACCTTCGACAATGCTAATCCTTTAAAAGACGACAATCGTGAAGGAAGCGGCTGGAGTCTCTGAAGAGAGGGCCCAAGAGGAAACCACGTGAACCCCCAGAGACGTCACTCGAAAGTCGACGTGGAGAGTTGAGGCAATTTGATCTTCGATTTGTTTCTTTTTTTTTTTTTATTAAAAACTAGCGCTTTCAAGAAATTACGGTTTTCTGTTTTTTGTTTCATAGGTGACCTAGATTCATTTCCGCTGTTAATTGGCCAAAGTCTCAAAATCGTTGCACCGCCCCTTTAAAGGGATAAGTACTACAACGAAATCCCCGTTAAAGGGATACTACAACGAAATTTCGGCGCTCATTTTTTGGTCTATATGTGTTCAAAGGAGCAGTATCACATCGAACATACCAATATCTTGTTAAAAAAAGTCTCGAAAAGGAATTTTAAAACGAATAAACGATTAGCAAAGAGCACCTGGTGGATGTCGCTAACGCCTCGCTTGTAATGCCCGTCTAGGAACCTTGACAGCTAGTGACGGTGAGTATCTCGCCTCCGGCCACGACGAGAGAAGAGGGGAAGGAGGAACTCCACTCTTCCTGATAATCCCTTTTGTGTGTCGCAGAAGTCACTATGGTCCCTCCACAAGATTATAGAAGATTAACCCGTCACTCAGAATTCGTACAAAAGCAGCCGTTTCGGTGGCTGGAACGACTAGGCCATCCTGTCGACGTCAGCCTCGCCGTAGCTTTGCTCGTCCCGAGACGACCTACGTCACGAATGCGTTGGATGTCACGTGGTCTCCGCTGGGCCTTATCCGAGCGCTTGCCAGAGTGGGCCGTTCATAACGGAAAATACAGCCACCAGGCTCAAAATGCGAACGTGCGATTGTCATTTACGGATATTGTGGATCATATTCAACCTAAAAAATAGTCAGAGTGCAGGCGAGCTGGTGTAAGTTGAACAGGATTGTAAACCTGAGAGTGGGGCAGGAAGAGAACACAACAGAATGTAGTAAAAGAGGAGGCAACGTCTCAAACTCAGCTGCAAAGTTTATTCCGAACACGCTTTATATACCCCTATACCCCATCTCCAACGCCGTCTCTAAAAAAAAAAAAGGAAAAAAAAAACATGACAAGAGGACAATGACACTTCGGTAAACCTTCTCTTATCTCCCTTGACCTTGGCTGTGGGACACTCGCCCAAAGGGACACATTCTAGCATAACCACCGCTACCCGGCGAACGCAGGTGAAAACACTACTGAACACAAAGAAAGGGTTTGACCTTCAAAGGTGCGTTCCCTCTAACAAATCACTCAGTCCAAAGAAACAAATCACTCAGTCTTTGGACTGAGTGATTTGTTAGAGGGAACGCACCTTTGAAGGTCCAACCCTTTCTTTGTGTTCAGTAGTGTTTTCACCTAGGTTCGCCGGGTAGCGGTGGTTATGCTAGAATGCGTCCCTTTGGGCAAGTGTCGCACAACCAAGGTCAAGGGAGATAAGAGAAGGTTTACCGAAGTGTCATTGTCCTCTTGTCATGTTTTTTTTTTGTTTTTTTTACAGACGGCGTTGGAGATGGGGTATATAAAGCGTGTTCGAAATAAACTTTGCAGCTGAGTTTGAGACGTTGCCTCCTCTTTTACTACCTTCTGTTGTGTTCTCTTCCTGCCCCAGTCTCAGGTTTACAATCATGTTCATATTCAACCTACTTGTGAACACGACGTGAATATTTCAAATTTCGTTGAAATATCCCTTTAACAAGACATGACTACCACAAACGTTCTTCCCTAATCGGCGTCGTCGCTACAAATAACGAACGGCTTCGCTAAAAAAAAAAATAGACAGCGCGTCGCAAACATACTACCCAAAAATTCGTATGGTTGTCACCAAGATAGTGAGTGAACAATGCGTGTCACGACACGCATTGTTCACTGACTATCTTCGATATGGAATTATCAGCTGAAGATCCCAGCGACTAGCAGTTCTTGCAGTTTGGCTGCGGTTTTTTGCAGGTTGAGAAGAGCAGGACAAGCTGCTCCCATAACGCTCTCCCCGCTTAACACTTCAGCAAAACAAACGCTGGAAAGAAGGCGACCGGAGAGGAGAAAACCACCGATTTTGGCAAGCAGAGAGCATTCTGGGCGAAACTTGCCCTGCTTTTCTTTATCTGCATCAAACCATGGTTCTTGCATGATACCCGGGAAACATGTAACCGTAGAGACGGGCACGAAGAAGAGGATGCGGACGAGCAGTTGTCCGCGCCCCTTCTTCGTGTTTGTCATTGTTTGCGCTTTCAAGTTTCCTGATCAGATGAACTACGTGTGAATGGACACGCCTCATGTCAGCATACGAATACACCGGTGGTTGGCTTAAGATTCTGCCGTGGCCCGGCACATTCTTCCCAAAACTTCAAAATAATCGCCCATGGAGTTTGTTCATCCTTGTTTTCTCTGGCGTCGTTCCTTCCAGAGAGAACAATATATCCGAGTATAATCAGCCAGAGAAGTGCCTCCTATGGATGCACCCCTCTGACTGAGCAATCGATTACAGAAAAATGAAAAACGTCATAATATCACGAATGACAATTGACGAGGCGACGAATGACTGAAGAAAGACTTAACGTTTAATGGAGCGAACGTGTACTTCAAGTAAAATAGAAGAAGGTTAGCGTCGCAGGCGTTGATGTCGGCGAAACAGCAGCATCAAGTGCTAGGGCAAGGCTAACTCTGGCTCGCCAGGCGGGTCCCCTTATGTACACGTGTGGGCTTCTAGAACATTCGGCTTAGAAATTTCGGTGCGTAGAACATCATTCGGACCTCTAATGAGTAACAGGGTTCTCAAATCCAC